CCGACTTGCCACACTGTGATCGTACATTATCTGGCTTTCTCTCTGGCCGTGGCGCATTGAAGGAAGTCAGAAGGAATGCTCTGGAATCAACACAATGCTCCAAGGTGTTGGGGTGCAAAGGAAATCCCATTGCAACCAATGCTTCGGAAGCGCATAGCCATCTTGGCTTTCCAATCTTCTTGGAGAAGGTAAACATCAAGCCAAAGTTCCTGATAAATGTTCGAAGGTAGCGGCTGGTGCTTTTGTTTCCATGTTCTTCAGCAGATTGGTTGAGACTGTAACACATATCAGGCCATCTCAAATGATATGTCAAGGCGTTGTCATATTCGGTTTGTGTCAGCGCAATTTCAAAGTCAAGACCAACCTGACCAGTCATGGGACCATCAGGTGAATCATGAAGTACACCGGCACAAATGTTACCACCGTTTGCTTCATCATCATCACCGGCTTCTTGTTGGGATTGCTTCTTGATATTCAATCTTGATGTTGGTCTGTTCGAAGCCCATGTCCATTCAGCCATGAGCTCATTCTGTATGGCAGTTGTAGCATTGTTGTGATTTGGCACCACTTCACTATTTGTTAGCCAAAAGAATTCATGCCAGCCAAATGCACATGGGCGTTGCAATTCAACGCAATGATCTTGCAATGATTTGCATGGATGCATAGTTTTCCCACGATGTCTCCCGACCTGATAGCTGCGTAGCCTTGCCACTGGAAGTCCGTAGGCAACACTATCCATCTGAACAACACTGATGTCATACAGATCACCCAGGAATCGTTGAAGAACTTCACGCACAGGAAAGGAAACCACATTTTCACTTGTAAATTCAGATGGCTGCATCATCAATACGATGCCAATCCTTAGTTAATCATATTAGTAAATCAAATCAAAACAAGCAAAGACCCAGAATCTATAACCGTTACAACCCCCATATAGATGCAGTGGTTATCATAAGGAAAACATTGGAAAAACAAAACATAAACATACACATTGACAATGAATATACAAACAAAGAGACCATGCCAGCAGTGACAATACACAAGGATCTGCCAGACCTAGCTGTAAGCCTTGCTTGCTGTAGGGTGTGCAAACGCTTCCTGCTGAGTGTCGTGCTGAATGCTTTAGACGGCAATACCTGTTGTGGCGAACACAAAAGCCTGACTGCCGGACTGCTCTGCGTTCAATCAAAAGCTCTGCCATAACTTCCAAAGCCATAAATGGTTTCTTCTTCAGTTCATTGACTATCGGCAAAACTTCTGGCCGCCAAAATGAATCAATATCTTTGAATAGACATGGTTCGTCTTCCAGTCCGCTGTAAATGGCAGGGTTCAAAGATGAATCATGTAGCAAAAGAAGCTCTTGCTGACATGATGTATTCCAGTCTATACGCCATAGAGATTTTGGTGGACGAACTTGCTTGCCCAAAGTCATTGACAAAAAGTCAGCCAGCATACGGTCAACCACGTCATGCGCTGCTACTCCTGCAAATGCAATTGAAGTCGCGAGGCTTGATAGCTTCTTGGCAAGTTGTTCTAGGCTTTCAACTCGCAACTCATCATCAGCTGAATCTTCAACACTGTCAGAGTCATTGCCGCTGGCACTCAATCCTGCCAGAAGCAAAAAGTCCTGAATATAGTTGAGGCCTTCCAACAAATTAGAAGTTGTCCGATTGGCAGTCAACTTGCTCCATTTGAAAGAGGTTTCAATGTTTGAGCTCTCTGATGATGAAGCAGCACGTAGATCAGCAGAGTCAGTAGGATCACTAGACTTTTGTTGTGGTTCC